GTAGGTTTCAGAAAAACATTTTCTTTATCGTGCCAACGTTTCGATCTTTATTGAGATCATCTTCAGGGCTCAAAGTGTTTGTCTTCTGTGTAATTGTGTCATTCTTGCGTGCCGTGTCGAGAGTGCCCGATAAGGAAAATGTTTTTCTGAAACCTACATCACACCAGACCGCATCTCACGATTTCTGAATAATTATCGATTAACTGTCACTATCATCACACATTCTTTAAAAGTACGACTAATTAAAAAGCTATAAAATCGGAACAATCTAACCAAAAATCTATAAAATCACACAAACTAACCAAAGAACTATAACTGTTAAACAGACACAAATTCCGATGACGTCCTACAATATTCGCTATACAAATTCTTCTAACAATGATGAGGCACCCAGTTTCCGTTTTTGTGGGAAACCGGGTATTATACGGGTACGATATTTGATTTATATCATACTTGATAGATAACTCGTTTTGCGTTTCTTTGTTGTATACTGAGTGAAGTATTTATTTAAGTGAATAAGTAGCGCGGACCGATGGCGGAATATTGAGTACCCATCGACCCTCTATTAGGCTTGGTCTGATAGAGGAATATCGAGTACTTAACCACCCTAATTAAGTGAATAGAACGTAAGTAGGACAGAATTTATTTAAGAATGGGTCCAGGTTTAGTCCAGGTTCTGTTGGGCTGAAATGCCATATTTTTTGACAGTGGAGCCTAACTTCAGCGTCGAATAATATCGAAGAATCAACAATTTATTTTTCCAGGAATGTGAATTGTCTATTTTGTTTATGTTTATTCGCAGGCATTGTATAATAAAATGTAAAGATCTGGGACTTTGTTACACTTGTTTTTAAAATGAACAATTGCCTGAGATAAATACTTTTTTTTCAATTTATTGGTTACCTATACACGATAGTATACTATACAAATATGTACACAAGTTCACTAATTTCGTGAACCGCTTGACCAATTAATACTTTACAATAAATTAAGGTTTTTACTTGAGATGAAAAAAAGTTGAGTTGATGTCCGAGTGGATCGAGGTCACGATAGCTCAAGTGGTAGAGCAGCGGCGTATCAAGCCGAAGGTCGTGGGTTCGAATCCCTCTCGTGCCATTAACTTTTTTTCATCTCAACTAAAAACCTTAATTTATTGTATGTACACAAGATTAATATATCACACAGCACGACACTAGCACTAATGCCAGCACTGCACCGGTAGAACATGTTGCTTTGAGGAGTCAGTCATTGCTGGCACTCAGTGTGTATGATTGCGGGTCATGAAGTCCCGAGGCCATCGTCGGCTGACGCGACGTGGTGGGTTGTCAGGATGGGAATGAGTTGAGAGGGCTCGAGCAGTATAGTTAGGATGGTCCAAGGTTGGTGTGCAAGGTTTGTAACCTGGACCGGATCTGTTCGTTGACAAAAGGAATGTGGAGGTCTTTGTGGGCAGTGAGTCTAGTGAAGATGCTTTGACAATTTGTCTAAGGACTTTCGATTGGATATTGGAAGCCTTGGCTGTACCCGACAGTTCCACTCCGCCTGTCCATATTGGTTTAAGTATAGTCTTGTACAGTGTCTGCCTTAATTGTCAAGGCGATTTCGGTCTTGGAAGTCTCCGTAGTAGTCCAAGTCTTGTATTAAGTTGCTGCTTTTTATGTCTTGTGTCGGGACGTCAGTCTGCTGTCGAGATATAGTCCCAGGTATGTGACCTGAGTGGAAACTGATATCTCTTTGCTGTCGACGTACAATGGAGGGCAAGACTGATTTTTCAGCGTAAAAGTGCACTGAATGCATTTTTCTTCGTTCAGTCTTGTCCTCCATTTTTGAGATAAATACAAGATATTAAAAATAATAACTTCGGACATTCTCGCAAAGGATAAAGAGGAAATTAAGGATTAGTAAAATAGATAACGTACAAATATCTTTCTTCATACAATTTGTCAATAAGAGAAAATAATAAACCTCCAAAAAAATAATATTAAACAAAAATATTTTATTAACATTTCATAGAAGGATAATAGAAAGCTTTCTTTTTATAATATTCAAGCTGGGAGAACTTTAAAAAAAAGTAGAAATTAGTTGACTTTAATACAATACAGAACAGATTAAGATAAATTACCTATGATGTGAGAATTATAAGAACATAGAGACAGTGACCTTGATTCTCTATTTATTCTATGTGCCTCTGACAAATTACACTATTTCGCTAAAGAAAATTCCGTGTATATCTATAATCTAGTGGAGAGAGAAAGAGAGAGAGATAGAGAGAGAGAGAGAGGAGGTACTCGTTCTATACATAGTTTCATCTTTCTTACACAGTTAAACTCTAACACAAAAATCTGTACCATTTACACAAAAGGAGTTTTTTCTCTTCACAGGATCACTTTTCTTTCCCATTTTAAGTACATTATTATCAATTATCTGATTACTAGCAAGGAATTAATTGATTGAAAGTTTGAAACAATGTATAAACAGAAATAAAAGAGCCTTGTGGCGTCACTGGTAAATTTTGACTTGTTTTGCACATTGCCCTAAAAAATACTATTTACATTTGTTTGTTGTTAAAAACAATTCGACCTCAGGCCCTAGCCTTTTAGGTCCTATATAATATAATTAAATTCAATTATATTTTGTATTTATATAAATATGTTCATTACACGATAAACACAATAAATAATAAAAACGATATTTTTTTAATCTTTTTCTCATTAATTTTTTTCTCTTTCAACAATTAACAAAATTAGCACAACCATAAACAATTAAAATGTATATGTCAAAGTATATCTTTTTTCTTTTAATCTAAGAAAGAGTAGTACAACTATTATGTTTATTCTTTCATTTAAATATATACAAGAGAAAACACAAATCCAGTGGCCCCAATCAAATTGTCCATTTATGGGGATCGTATACTTTAGAACACTTGGAAAAATTTACAATATACAACAATCGTCTTCACGTTACACTCTGTCCTCGGAGATTCACTTTGACACCTTCCCTGTAACACAAGACAAACTTATAAAAAACATGTAATTAGCGAATTGTTTTATTAAAAGTTATGATTAATAATTAATAAAGGTTCAAGGAAAACTTGATAAAATGCTGTCTGTAGTTTGATCGTTTTCAATTATTCTGGACTGACTTTCTTCCTTAGTCTCTAAGACGAGTTTAGGCATTTCTTTACGTACGGGTAATAAAAACCAGCGAGGATGCGCGGACTAGGATGATAGGAAACGGCCAAAGCACAAATTCTCAGAAAATGATTTTATTATGAGTAATTAAGGTTTTTAGTCGAGATAAAAAAGTCAATTATAATATATTAATATTATATTAAAGTTATTATATTATATATTATTATTATTATATTATATTAATATTATATTATATTAGCAGACACGAAATTCGTGAATTTAATGATTAAAAAAACGAAGTATACTTCACTAAAGCTCTCCGTGGCCATTTCATTGGTCGTCGAGAATCCAATCCGATTACACGACATTTGAAAAATGGCAAAAAGGAGGGAAAATTCAAAAGGTGCGGTTGAGATGAGAAGTTGGTGTCCGAGTGGATCGAGGTCACGATAGCTCAAGTGGTAGAGCAGCGGCGTATCAAGCCGAAGATCGTGGGTTCGAATCCCGCTCGTGCCATTGACTTTTTTTATCTCGACTAAAAACCTTAATTAATTTTAATATATCAATTGGTCAAGAGGACCACGAAATTAGTGAATTTTATTATGAGACTTCATTTATTTCAGAGTTACTGTAGGATCTATTTTTTGATATCCGACCTATTATTGACAATTGTTTAATCTTTCACTGATGATAAACGGCGATGGCCTGTAACTAAAAACTCCGATGGACCCAGAGGTCAAACAGGAAAGTTTAGTAAGCTGTTTGTAATTTGGTCATTACATAGAAGCATGTACTAAGCCAGCGAGGAAAGTCGGGCCAGGATGATCGTGAAAGGCCTCTGAGTCTTCAAGAAGAAATCCGAAAAAATATTTTCGTCATAACACCTAATAGTCCAAGTCAGCGGATGAATTACTGTTTGATGTCCGACCAAAATTACCAGCTTTTGTCGTCACTTGTTTAAACTTTCACTGATGATGAACGACGGCTCGAGACACTGTCGGACCAGAAGTCGAACAGGATACTGTGATAATAAGGTGTTTGTAATTTGGCAATTGCCAGTCTGGTTAACCAGTCCCAGACAAGCATTATATGGTTAAATGCACTGATGATACTAAACTAGCGAGGACGGGCGGACCACCAGGATGATCGTGAACGACCTCTTAGACTTCAAGAATCAATCTTAGATTGCTTGTTATGGGACTAGACAGTGGATGATATTCGATAAAAAAAAGACTTTGTTTGAGCTTCCGCTGTTGATGAACGGCGATGGCCTGTTAGTAAAGACACGGACGGACCCAGAGGTCAAACAGTTTTACCCTTTAATTTGGTCGTTATTTAACAAGATTGCTCGGTTTGGGTAAATTCTGACAAAATCAAGCTTTTCATTCTGTATTGTGCCATAGACTAAACCAGCGAGGACATACGGACCAGGATAATCAAAAACTAACAAACTGCAGATTAGAACACTTAGATCTCTGGAAGCAATCACAACAAATGTTAAGATCTGATTTTTTTTTTTTAATATGCCCTGTTGTAAGCTACTATTCAACAGAACCAGCTGTAGCTTACAAGCACTGACGAACCTCCAGGTCAAACTCATTCTAGCTCGAATTTGGGCCATCTAAAACATTTGGTCTTTTCTGTTATCGTTTTCTACTACTTGCGTGTTTGATCTGTAAGACTACTTTTCTCATTTCATTTTCATGGATCGAATTAGGTACTAAGCTAGCCACCATGGACTAAGATGAACGACCATGCTGCAGGTTCATCATCTCAAGAAGAAATCACAAAATATTTTGTTTCTTAGGAAACTTGATAGTAATCCCAGTTATTGGATGACCTATTGATTGACATCGGACCTTTACGGTTTATGGTACTGGCCTGCAGCAAAAGCTCCGATGTTAAACAGCTTTTACCCTCGGCAACCATCCAAATAGACAAGAATCAAAAGAATATTTTAAGTTTGGTAGTTCCCATTCTGGATTGCCAATCCTGGATTATTTGGTCTTGAAAATTAAGTTTGACATTTTGTTATATAAAGCGATTGACAAAAAACAAGGAGAACAGGCACACCAGGATAATCGAGACCAAACCGCATGTTTATCCACCGTGAAATAAGGAAATCTGATGATCAAATGATGTTTGTTTTGTTACAATTGATGATTTCAATGGAGGAATTTTTATTTGGCAGTCATGTACAATTGAATTAAACTTCCATTGATGAACTTCAGGGCAAGTAGATAGTTATGACAGAAGAGAGGTTAAACAGCTGTTATCCTTCAACCATCCAACAACCCGAGAATGGACAAAAAGACGTTAAAACCGAAAGAAATCATCGATTTATCTGATGATGATATTTCAGGAGGAAAGAAAGAACCAACTTTAGACAACTTGTTTGGTTCTTTCTGTAACATTTACTCGAAAGTACTCCATATCAATTTCAGCTACTTTTGGGAAAGACGTCTAAGGTATTTTTGATATTAACAATTGTTTTCTTTCTATTGTAAAATTCTTGTACTGTTTGAGCAAATTTTACAAGGAAGCTTTATATTCGTACAAATAAAAGAAAATTTTGTTCAGTTCCTGAAGCCATTTTCACTCAAATTATTGTACCATTTTCAACTACAATCCGAAGAGATCCACTATAAAATAATCTACTTAGGTACTTTGAGAAATTGAAAATTATTTGTACCCTCTTCCCACGCCAAGTATGAAATTTATCTGTAGATTGAAAGTCTTTATAAATGTAGGTAGGCTTATCTCTTGACGTTTTTCATGCTATGCTTTTGGTCTAGAAACTACGATCAGGCTGTCGAAAGACAAGAAAAAGGTCCGAGGGAGAAGAAAAAACACATCGAAAAAGTCTACATTTAACGGAACCACTCCTGAAAGAAAGGTGCCTGAATCAGTCTAAAAGGATGTGTCGTTAGATAAGCCGCTCTACGACTAATGACCGGGGTAGACAAAGAAACCTGAATGGGATAGGACCACTCCTATATATAAACATCGGTAAAATGTGATGCTATCTCGGCCGGAGAGGCATCCCACCTTTCTCAATGGGTCTACACGTCACATTTCAACCGGGGAGAGCGATAAATCCGTAATCTATATCGTTCCCCCGCGCCGTTTTAAAATCCGATTAACCAAGACTGAGATCGGTATCTGAACAAGGTACAAATTGAAGACGGGAGTCGGTTTCGTCTATCATCGGTCCATCATCTGATATTTCCGATGAAGGTGAACAAGCAGAAGTATTTTTAAAACTGATCAGATTTCGCTACGGTCAAAACTTGAAACTGCCAAATCGGAAGCACTAAAACATGGTTTCCACCCTAAAAAGTAACTAGGAACACAATAAATCTTAACTTAATAAACCTCGTACTAAGTACAAGTGATAACTACTGATGAACGCTCATATTATATGATGATGGTGATTCATTCTTGCTTTATTCAACGATGAGGTTTTATGTATTATTTCTAGTTTTGTCGTTTAGATATTATTTATTTATTAACTGCCCAGTTCGAACACTGAAGATGGCGAGAAGCCCAAACATGTCTGACTGATCAGTACAGCAAGAGTAGGCATATCAAAATGACCGGAAATTACCTAATATACAATAATTTATTTAATTAACCATTTCATAATTTAGTTAAGTTATCCCAGTCCATATTGGAAAATTGTATAACCCAATTGGCCAGTTGAAAAAGTGGAAAAATAGAAACTTTAGAGTTTTGTGATTAGTACTTCATAAGCGTTTCAATCAGACCAAGAAATAATATGAAAAGTCATTAGAAATAATAACTGCAAAAAAAGGTCTAATAAAAAGAATTAATTGCGTTAATTACCACAGCACACGTTATCATTTCCTTTTCAAAATAAAAGCGATTTTTATCATTTTGAACCTCACCCTACAATTTCATTGTCTATCACGCTATTTTTATATTTATTTTTATTGAAATACAGTATTACCAATATATCTTTTTATATACGGTTTTGGTTAAAATGAAAAAGTTAGCATTACGAGTGGGTTTCGAACTCACGACCTTCGGCTTTATAAGATCAACATAGCTGTCCTAATCACCTGAGCTATCGTGACAAGCCGAAGGTCGTGGGTTCGAATCCCGCTCGTAACACTAACTTTTTCATCACAACCAAAACCTTACATAAAATATTAATTAATTGAGAGAAGTAATTTGGTCAATCAGACCACTAAATATAATGGAATTTCTAATATACTTTTTCTCAGTTAAATGTGAATAACTTTTCGCCTTTTTTTTTTTTTTTTTGTAATGTTCTCCTAGGACAGCACAATTTTTTTAATTCATCCTAGTGTAGATTTGCTTTTCAAACCATGGATGGCGAATATCAGAAATCTTTATAAATATTTGACAGAATAATGAGTCGTTTTGGTATTTATGCTTCGTATTTAAAAATTACTCAATAATGATCGTTTTTCTCTTTGTGATGGTATATCAAACCCACTAAATTCCCGACAATATAAAATGTATTAAAAAAATGAAAAATAGTGAAAAATTTAATTGCGATTAATTGAGACGACAAATATTTTAAAATCGATATTTTATCAGTTAACCAGAGACTCTCAAGTCGAATTAATCAGCGTTTTGTCGCATTTCATTGGACAAAATTTTCGTCAGTATATAAAAACAAACAATTTTATTATCTATTATTCACAAAGAAAACTAAAAGAATTTTTAAAAAATTGAAACACTGTTCAGGGGTCTGCAGTGCCCGAGTTAAACGAGTCCGGTCCTAATTTTGTCACGTTGAAGGTTCTGGGTTGGAAATTTATATAATTATTTTATAGAGAAAAATTGTCTAAAAATTAGTCGTAAAAATTGTACGACATAAATTTAATTATAATTTACACATAGGCTAGACAAAAATCAGCAACTTTTCTGCAGTCAGATCTCGAAATATTTCTACCCTTGAGGAGTTTGACTATTTCAGTTCTTATCTTGTCTTTTCCTTAATGGTAAAAATTAAAAAAAACTTTATTGTATTTTAAGAAAGCCCTTAGCTGAATAAATTGCTTGGTTGAAAAATTTAATTATTTAGTTAAGTAATTTTTGATCATTTTGGACTGCAGATGATAGATTTTCGTCTGACAGATTCGTTTTAGCTTTACGCCACTCAATAATGGGTTTATCTCGTAAACGACCAAGTAACAAATTCATCACGCAGTGATCTTAAGATAATCTCACAGTTTATCAATGAGGCCACAGAGAGAAAACAGCTGAAGAATTGGATGCAGTTGACACAAGGACCAAAGCCCGCGTATAATCAGGCAAACTAAGAAAGTTTGTTCAATCTCACTTAACTGTAATGTATTTATTAGCGTAAATTTTTAGTATGGGAGAGTCGATGGTGGAGTGTTAAGTTCCACATCGAGCCACAATTAGACTAGTTAGATTTATAGTTGTAAAGTTGTTCAGGCTTAAAAAGGACTTTTTAAATTATTATATAAATAACAATTACAATAGCCAACGAGAAAAGCCATTGTGAATGACAGCCAAAATTTGGTTAATAGAGTCCATAGACCAAAAAAACTCAAAATCATCCTCTTATGAAAATAAAATTAATGGTAAATCAAATAGTTTGAATTTGTCAGATTTTTGCACATTAATGGACACTTAGTTTCCGAACGCATCCGGCTATTTACTTAGTATCATTCCTTGGCTCCGTATAAAAAGCGTGTAGGAATGTCATTGGGAGTGAGAACTTTGCTTGAGCATGGTACCTTGAATCTCCTGTTTTGAATTTTGGAAAAGGCTGTCGAATGCTTTTTTCATTCGATAAGGTAAAATGCAACATTAAGACTTATCGCAGTTGGTGTATCTCAAGGTGGCATTTTGGACCCTTTCCTATTTAGATTGCACACATGGCCCAAATCCCGCGAACGTCTCCAACATTCAAGCTCGATGTGTCCCACATAAGTGAAGGTCTTATTCCTCGGCTCCATATAGACAGCTCGTATGACGGCGACACTATATGAAAACTGTTCGTGAGAATTTGAAATGATTTGGGCCCTCTTAAACATGACATTTTACTTAGCACTTAATAGATATCTAGTTTTGTGTTTCTTTTTATGAGATTTTATTTATTAGTGTGAATGTGTACTGTGAGAGGGTCGATGGTGGAATAATGAATACTTCATAGACGTCAACAGATTAATGATATGGAAGTGAGTGATTAGCATGACAATAATAAAGGATTTAAGAATAAGTGAGTTCAGGTTACAACATGCATTAGGACTGAGATGACCTTATGGAAAACTCTTTAATTCTAATTTCGGTCTTGGCCGTGGGACATAGGGACAACGGTGGCCGATTGGTTAAGGCGTCCGACTCGTATAAACCAAGCTTGCCGTTCTGGGTTCGAATCCCGGCAGAGCCCGTTGTTTTTTACTGGACTATAGTATGAAAATTATGTTGTAAATGGTTGGACCCCTCGTCCGCAACAATAGATGGTAGTTGGACGTTAAGCCTTCCTGTACAAAAGGAATTGGCAGATGACATGTGATGCCAGCTAAATTTTTTTCTTATAACATTTCCTCATGAAGTCTGCGGGATGATGCACATGTTTTTCGGTTGTTGAGTGATATGACATCTCTGAAGATGGCCAAAAGCCGAAATATCTACCAAGCCTAGTATATCTATTTTTATATGGATTTGTATGAATATGTAATAAACTAAAACGTTCCTGGTGAACAATTAGTGTGAAGATTTAATTAAAGTTACGCCTTTTTTGAACATATGCTCTAAAACAAGAAAAGGTTTGATTGCGGAGGAGTCAAGGATAATAACAGGTTATGTAGACGTCGGGATCGTAAGCTTACCGCCATTTTAATAAGAATGTTCGTACCAACGTATGTAAGAGAACAATAAATAAGACATGTTGATGTTAACGGATGGGTTGAAAGAGATCTCTGTTCCAGAGGGAGAAATGAAATATGCTAACGTGGCTCTTCGTCGAAAAGTAACCGGCCCCCAAGAAGAAAGTCGGTCGTACATAATTTATGGAGTAAATTTCTTATAGTGGGCGGTTGAAGTGGGGGTCGATTGCCTAAGTGTTCAGGGGGAGGGCTTGATTCAAGTTTTTCCCTAGGTGCAGCGGCCATCTTGTACTCCCCACCAAGTTGGAACACGGTTGAGTCGGTGGTTGTTGCACAATCAATCCAGTCCGACCATCGTCCAGGAGGGATTTCACGCCAAGCCTTTTTCCGTTTTGTTTTCGAAAGGGGGGAAAACCGCGTTTTTTTCGTTTTTTAAAAAAAGGAGCTTTTGAGTAATTTGCGCCGATTTCCCGGACGCCTGTTAATTTCCATACGTAGTGGGAGTTTCCCTTTTTGGCTGATATATAGACCGAGAGCCGGGTAGGTGTCTGTAGCTCGGAGGCGATAAATTCCCGCAGGCGGAAATCTGTCTTGGTCCAGAATAAATTACAGGATCTGCCCTACTCGGCTTGCAACGAGGCATCCCTGACATTTCTCGGATGGGTAAGACGTCGGACGTGACTGCCATGGCTGTTCCGACAAGAAATCCCGATATTTTTCAGACAATATTTTTTTAGAGACTCGACGAATTTTGACTGGTTTTTGGTTCAAGGGCTCACCTGTGAAAATGGTAGACGAAGGTACGTTGACTCGGCGTCTTAGCTTTACACCGGAGAAACAAAGCTTCCACTCATCTGTGGTGAACTGGAAAAAATAAAGAAAAGTGAAAAATTAAAAAATAAAACAGACAAAACAAAAACAAAGCATGTAATAAAACTTTTTCATGATGTACCATAAAGGAGGGGGCAATAACGTACAACTTACCATCTACGCCACTTTAACATTTCTTATAAAGGGTCATGCACAGTACAAACAAGCACCACCCGCTTAAATAGTACGTTTTTAAAAATTTTAAACACTAAAAAAAATGATTTCCAACTTTACAATATCAATTTTTATAAATAAATTCCATAGAAACTTGTCAGGTTTCGCGGACTTTATTTATAAAGGAAGGTGGCATTACTGTTTAGTCCTAGTTATGCGGACTCGCGCGGAGGGGGGAGAGGAGCCGGCCATTGCTGGAACACTAGTGTTTCGGATTGTTGGTTGATGTTTAGGGTTGTGTTAGAAGGTCACGAGGGCCGAGAGGCGGCGTGGAGGATTGTTAGGGTGGGAAGAAAGGGCTTAAGCTAGGGGATGTTTGAAGTAGAGCCTGGACTGGAGGTTATGGAATCGTGTTTGGATCATGTCTGTCACGAATGAGATGTCTTTGGGTATGGTTTTGTTAGTGGCATAAAAGGGAGCGTTGAAGATGCGACGAAGGACATTTGATTGAAAGTATTGGATTCTTTGGAAGATGGATGGCTTTGCTGAACCCCACAGCTCGAATATTAAGTCCAAATAGGTCTAATTAGTGTTTTGTATATGGTTAGTATGCTATGTGCATTGTGTATTCGGGTCTATATTGGCGCCTAGGTTTTGAGGTTGAAATGAGGGCTTTAGCTAGTGGTCAGGGGAGGAGAGCAGTGAGTGGAAGTTGTGGAATCGTGTTTAGATAATGTCACGAATGGTATTTGTGTCGTTGAGGATGGTTTGATTAGTGTCATATAAGGGAGAGTTGAAGTGATTGAAAGGATTTTGGATTCTTTGGATGATGGCTTTGCTGAACCCCATAGCTCGAACCAAATAGGTCTAATTAGTGTCTTGTGTATTGTTAGCTTGTTATACTCATTGTGGATTTGGGTTCAAACAGGCGTCTGATTGGTCCGAATATTCCGTTCAATTGTTGTCTTTTTTTACATGTATGTTCCATATCTGCTGTCCAAGTAGAAGGTTGCAATAATGTTATAGTCCTAGTAATGTAATGTTGGGACCGAATGTAGCCTTCAAAGAACTTTGAAATCGTCTGAGGAAAACAATTATTTCAATTTGTAGGCATATTTTTGTTTTGCCTTGATGATGAAAGGTCGGAAGCATGACCAACATCAAGACCATACGATCCAGAGCATTCACGTCTAAGAAGAAGCAAAGGAGTTGGTTGGATGTCGGGATTACCTTACTGTATATGTACACTGGTGGGAATTTAAGTAAATAAAGATATAAAATCCACTGATGGTAAATGAAAATGTATTAGGTGCTTCCCTATTTTTTTAAATAGTAAAGTTTGGATAAAAAAAAAAGCACTCAAATGTTCGAAAACTTTTCCAGCCGCATCAGACAATTCCAGTAAGTCTCTCACTTATACCAGCGCCATACCATCACGAAATTGAACAGGATGTTGTAATTAGGTAATAAAACAGATTTATTTAATAAGCATTGAATGAAAATGTAGAATGTGAGTTTGTAATATTAACAGTGAATCCATGCTTAGTTACATTTGAGATTTTCTGAACAGGATTAAAATAATTTTAGCTGGGTTAGAATATTCTGCACTCGGGGGTTGAGTGGGTAAAACATTTCTGTGTAGTTTGATCGTTCTCGATCATTTTAGTCCTGCCCTTGTTGGTTTGTCACATGTGTTTCATCATTTCGGCATCATCAGTGTAACTGGGTGAATTCATGGCACGCCAAAATGCAGGTTAATCAACCTTAAGACCACAGAAAGAAATCAAACATGCTAATGATTAACAATTTTGAAACTGGCTGGAATTTGAAATTTGTTCGTTCTACCAACGAGGATTGAGCGAAAACTAGCGCTTCTCGGCTTCTTTCTGTTGTCATTAGATGAAAATTTACATTAAACCCACAGGATTTCATAAAATAAACAAATTACAGCATGTTTTTATAACTGATGATATCAACTCAGTACAACTGAGAACTTTTATTTAGATGACTGCTGGAAAAATGAAAACCCAAATTTTACATGACATTCTTTAGTTTTGTAGATTTCCTAAAATCATCAGTTTTCCCTTGAATTAACACAACAAAACAGGATCACCTTGGAGGTAATTTTACATGTAAACTAAGCACAGTAAAGGATGAATTGCAAATGAAAGAACGTGTCTTGTTGCAAAACGAACACTTTCTGTAAAGACAGTAATTAAAAACAAGGCAAACTCTACCTTTTGTAAAAAGGTTTGAAAGCAGTTTCTTCGTTGTTGGGCTGGTGGTGAGGTGGCGGTGGTTGGAGAGGACTTGCCTCCTGCCTAGGGTAGTATCCCGGGTGTCCCTGGTACCCTTGGGGCGGCCCTTGGTAGGAAGGGAGTTTCATGTTCGGCGGAGTCTGCGGCGGTGTGTCCGTCTGTACGTCCGGGTAGCCTCCGAAGTAGCCGTACCCGCTGCCCGGAGGCGGCCTGTAGGACGGCGGCCCCCAGGTGGCCTGCACCGAAGGCGGAGGTGTCTTGCAGGCGGCGGTGTCCGCCAGGGACCAGATCTTCGGCTTGGTCGCCGGGACGGGAACCCCGCAGTCCTTGGACATTTCGTCTTTGAGCATCATGTGGTGAGAAGGTGGACCGAGCATGTGGTGTGTCGGTATCATGTCGTTGCCCACCTTGCCCTCGTCGGACATGTCGTCGTCTTCGTCCAGCTCCTTCAGCCTGTGCTCGGCTTTCACGTGTAGTAACGAATCTAAAACACAAATTTTCATGCTGTGTGACGCGAGTGATTTGACATTTCCAGCTCTTTCCAAGTCGTCTGCTGTGTGCGTTTCTTCCGAATCCTTTGCGGCCTGGGAATCCATCGTTCATCGACTTTCGAGATAGGTCGGAAATGCTTCAAGGGAAAAAAAATTCTGCTTGGTTTCGGATGAGAACGCATACAATAGACAACTGTAAAGACTAACTGGGTCAATATTTAAAATTCAGCCTTTTTACAAAAGACATGATCTTCTTGGCCTATAATAGAATATTTTATGCAAGCAACTCAGAAAAATTGACCTTTTTGCTAAGCAATATGATTCTAATAACTAATGTAGCTAACATAATACAGCCTTATGTTCTACACTTTGATCTTTGGCTTCTGGCCTTTAATCTATAACGTATGATCCATGTATCACTGAACATGACGAGATGTCGAAACTCGACTGACGAACGAAAGTAACGAGAGAAGGAAGACAAAAAAGATCAGAAATAACCGAACATCCCGCAGATCCCATGTTATTTTATATTTATTTTTCATACTTTTAATATCAATAAACTCTTCTAGCAGCCAGTTTTGATTTACCGACCAATCTGTTCAGTTTGACCGTGTAATTTGAAATGAACTAAATTTAGTACATTCTACTTTATAAACGTTTGATCGTTTACGAATATTTTGGTCTGCGCATATCACCGTTTTGTTATGTTAGATGAATTTCTGCGTCTAGTCATCTTTATAATTGGCATTTTTTATTTATTTAGAAATCGTGAGATACGGTCTGGTGTGATGTAGGTGTCAGAAAAACATTTTCTTTATCGGGCACTCTCGACACGACACGCAAGAATGACACAATTACACAGAAGACAAACACTTTGAGACCTGAAGATGATCTCAATAAAGATCGAAACGTTGCACGATAAAGAAAATGTTTTTCTGAAACCTACATCACACCAGACTGCATCTCACGATTTCCAAATAAATATCGATTAACGGTCACTAATCACCACACATTTATAATTGGCTAAGAATGATGTCAGAAACCTGAAACACGCCGGACAGACCATAACATCCACAGTAAGTTTTTCAAAACGATTACAAACAATTAAACTACAGGTTTATCTCCCCAAATTTATCCTTTTTTACTGACATTTTCCATAAATGTTACTGGCATCGACCCGAATTGTTTTCCCTACCGGTCAGTCCAGTTTTCGTGCATAATTTGAAATGAACTAAATTTAGTACATTATTATTTACTACAGTTTGAACTTTCCAATCGTTTTAGTCTTCGTATTTTCCCTGTTTTGGTGTGACCGATGTATTTCGGCTTGTCGCTGTCTTTAGTATTGGTTCTCTGTGTCACCGAAGATGTCGACCTGACCAACGGCAGAACTAGGTAAGTACTAAAATGTTAATAGGACTATTGGCATATAGTCTTGGTGCACCGTGAAGATGTGCCCTGAAGATATGTTCAAATTGGATGTATTGGGCTTTCCGATGCATTTTGCTTCCCTCTATCTTTAATGTTGGATCTATATGTCACTGAAGATGGCAGGAAGCCGAAACGGTACAGACCGAACAAAAAACAGATGGTATGTCGACTAAAATGATTCGGAAATGACCAAACTGCATGGATGTAGTCTTGGAGCACTGTGAAGATATGACCAAAAAGTAGGCGAAACTGCTGGTGCGGAAGGCCAGACTAAAATTACTCGTAGGAGCCCGATGGTTACACACGGGAGTCTTAAACATAGCTTTGGGATCTGGGGTAATTGCAATATTTTAAAAAACCGACTCCTCACCTGAACCTTCTTAACTTCTTCCAGCAAAATCAAGTGATAGACTTTGACGGTTTGAGCTCAGTGCGATCTAAAATGTTATGATTTTTTAATGGGTACAAGTTTGTGGGAGGCTTTCTAGTTGTAGACATACAGTTCAATATGATAATATAAAATCTAAAGGGCATGGAAATTCACTAATCACAGTATGAACGTCTTAATGAGAAAAATATTCCCATCTGAAATAGATAAACGTAATAATCTCCATTAGACGTTTGTAGGAGATTTGAACATAAATGAAATATATAAACACCCCTTTTGTGGATTTATTATGGTCACGTGGCGAAATGCAAATAGGCCGTCTCATCGGCCGAGATAACTGTCGGAGTCAACAGAGTCTGTTGCTCCTCAGATTATACGGCAGATAAGCCGGGGGAGAAATGATTTCATTAACAGCTGCCGATGGCTTTCCAATGGTAATAGACTGGGGTGGGGTGGATTAACCCTCCGCCACTTAGGATATTGACACTCTTCCCCTCTGAGAAACGGCCCCCCAGCTCCTTTTATGCCCGCTGTTGACTCAGTCACCTAAGAGCTATATTTTTCCCATTATAAGTGCCTTTTCTCTCGAACAACAATCTTGTTACACTTTCTTCCCTTGGTTGAAACCGAGGATTATCATGGGGAAAGTGGGGTAAATGTTCCAAATTACACCCTTTCCAGCCTATCGAATTTCTCGACAGTTAGCAGTTTCATGGATATACTATTTTTTTTTTTAATGTTTTGGGACAAGGTTCTGTCAGAGACAGTTTACTGACAAAAGTTCAATTTAAATGATAATATGAAAAAAATACCCGAATGGCATGTCGTCATTTGCTTTTATGGTTAAACCGATCACAATTTTCACAATTTTCTACTTTTAATGATTTTTAAAAAATGAGATCAATGTTAAGGCAACATATTCGGATTTTCGTGTGGTGTATAGTGACCGTTAGTCAGATTATTCGGAGATCATGACATGCGGCCTGGTGCGACGTAGGTTTTAGAAAAACATTTTCTTTATCGTACCATTTAACTAGGGATATTCAAGTGCATTGTCCAAAGAAATAGTCTCAGCAATTTAAACATTGTAAACTCTAAAAATTTGCGGACACAATTAATTATCGGAGATTAATCGGAGATCGTGAGATGCGGTCTGGTGCGACGTAGGTTTTAGAAAAACATTTTCTTTATCGTGCGAACGTTTCGATCTTTATTGAGATCATCTTTATGGCCTGGGATTTATAACATATTGTTTAAATTTTATAAATACATGTAGGATGTGGAAAAAATGAATTTATACAATGCTAGAAAATTTTGGATTGACAAAAAAATGAATTTATACAATGCTAGAAAATTTTAGATTAAAAAAATGAATTTATTCAATGCTAGAAAATTTTGGATTGAAAAAAAAATGAATTCATACAATGCTAGAAAATTTTAGATTAAACAAATGAATTTATACAATGCTAGAAAATTTTGGATTGAAAAAAATGAATTTATACAATGCTAGAAAATTTTAGATTAAAAAAATGAATTTATACAATGCTAGAAAATTTTTTAGATAAAAAATGAATTTATAGCATTGTATAAATTCATTTTTTTATCTACGTTTTCTAGCATTGTATAAATTCATTTTTTAATCTATAATTTTCTAGCGTTGTATAAATTATTTTTTTAATCTAAGCCTTCTAGCATTGTATAAATTCATTTTTTTTTCAAATTAAAATGGATTGAGAAAAATGAATTTTTACATTGCTAGAAAATTTTAGATAAAAAAATGAATTATACAATGCTAGAAAACGTTTTGCATAAAAATGAATTTATAGCATTGTATAAATTCATTTTTTTAATCTACAATTTTTTAGCATTGTATAAATTCATTTTTTTTTAATCTAAACTTTCTAGCATTGTATAAATTCATTTTTTTTTCAAACTAAAATGGATTGGGAAAAATGAATTTATACAATGCTGGAAAATTTTAGATTAAAAAAATGAATTTATACAATGCTAAAAAATTTTGGATTGAAAAAAATGAATTTATACAATGCTAGAAAACGTTTTGCATAAAAATGAATTTATAGCATTGTATAAATTCATTTTTTTTAATCTAAACTTTCTAGCATTGTATAAATTCATTTTTCCCAATCCATTTTAGTTTGAAAAAAAATGAATTTATACAATGCTAGAAAATTTTAGATTAAAAAATGAATTTATACAATGCTAGAAAACGTTTTGGATAAAAATGAATTTATAGCATTGTATAAATTCATTTTTTTTAATCTAAAGTTTCTAGCATTGTATAAATTCATTTTTTTAATCTACAATTTTTTAGCATTGTATAAATTCATTTTTTTTAATCTAAACTTTCTAGCATTGTATAAATTCTTTTTTTTTCAAACTAAAATGGATTGATAAAAATGAATTTTTACTTGCTAGAAAATTTTAGATAAAAAAATGAATTTATACAATGCTAGAAAACTTTTTGGATAAAAATGAATTTGTAGCAATGTATAAATTCATTTTTTTTAATCTAAACTTTCTAGCATTGTATAAATTCATTTTTTTTTTCAATCTAAAATTTTCCAGCATTGTATAAATTCATATTTTCCACATCCTATATGCATTTGTAAAATTTAAACAATGTTTATAAGTCCCAGGCCATGAAGATGATCTCAATAAAGATTGAAACGTTGCCATGATAAAGAAAATGTTTTTCTAAAACCTACGTCACACCAGACCGTGTCTCACGATCTCCGATTAATCATTAGGATTTTCGTTATTTCCTGACCCGTTTTTAGAGTTTACAATGTTTAAATTGCTGAGACTATTTCTTTGGACAATGCACTGAAAGTCTAGGCCATATTTCTTTGCCCCCTAGCTCTATATTGTCCTTGCTGTAATGGAACTTCTCATTGTATCCCTGGTTTATGCCGTTCTACCGGCTAAATAATTGTCCCCAGCGGAGGTGTTCCAGCCGCATTCCACACGGTAACTTTGAGGAGAGAAAACGTTGCAGAAGAGCCGAAATAAAATTGAATATCCCTAGTTAAATCCCCGACTATCCTTTTATTACTAATACCGTTCAAATCCCCTTTTTTCAGATGGTCAATCAAGATAGCTTTGTAGATATTTAAAAAACGATATCGTTTTTATTTCCCTTCTGAACACTTCTAGCGTTGCCAGATAAAAATGTTTCGATTTTTCTTTATCGCACAAAGATCTTTACACCAGCGCGTTTAGGTGTTCCAAACCTCTTATTTCGTCTAATTTTTATTATATCCGGACACCTCGTTCAGCGAGAGCGTAACGAGTGTCACAATAGACCGATCCATCATCGGTGGGGACAGATTAATTGCGAAGGCTCTGCTCCTAGGACGGAGAGCGGAGAGAAGAACAAGGTTGGTAATGAGGAGATGCCACATTAAGATAATCCCAGTTCCAGTCGACCTACCCCTGCCATTGTCCTCTCTATTCTTTATTACTTTTAACCATGCAAGTCAAAATGCGTTTTTTTCATTGCACCCTTCTCCCGGTCTCGGGCTGACCAATGGTGTTCGATTTCCGGTCGGTGGTTCACAGGGGTAATTATTTCAAAAGATAAAGTTTCACCAATAGAAAACTCTATTTTAAATATCGCAAATTCTCCTTTCAGAACAACTTTTAAATATAATAACCTGCGGTATCATGAAATGTATGTTGGTCTTTACGTATCATTTTAGTCTATTTTAGCTGGATTGGACTGTCACCGGCAATTAGCTATCTTCACTAGACCGTTTGTGCCGTAACTGTCCCTACTTATAACCTTGAACAAGTAAAATCCAAGCATACATAACAAACCGTATATTTATGAGATTTATACATGAAGTTAGACCCAGAAGGAATACTGAAGTAGTTGGCACTACCCTCGCAGACCCCATGTTAATTTATGTTTATTTTTTGGACTGTTAAGAGCACAAACTCTACTAGAAGCTTCTCGTTTTTTGACCGAGCGGGTCAGATTTAGAGCTTAATATGAAATTAACAAAATTTTGTACATTATTATTTTTATAAATCCATTAGGTTTCGTGGTACGATTAAACAAATAAATTCCTTTCAATTAATTACCCTTTACGTAAAGTTAAAATTAAGGCTAAATACGCCGCTGCTCTACCACTTGAGCTATCGTGATCCACTCGGACTCGAACTTCCCATCTTAACCCATCTTTTGAATTATTTTTATATTTGATCGTTTCCAATCAATTTTGACTGCGCAATCTCACTGTATTGGGCGTTTCGATGCATTTGGCTTCTCGACATCTTCAACAATGAGTCTGTGTGTAACTGAAGATGCCAAGAAGCCGAAACCCGACTGACGGACAAACCAACGAGTGTGAGATGATAAGACGATTTGAAATGACCAAACTGTACTCAGCAGGCCGTTTTATGCTTATTTTTTAAATTGTTAATGTTACGTCACACCAGACCGTCATAAACTCAATAAATCTTCCATCAGGCTACCTTTTCATTTTCAAACAGATCGGTTCAGTTAATCGTGAAATATAATGAACTAAATGTAATACATTTTTATTTATTATTAATTGGAGGTCGTGAGATGCGATCGGTGTGACGTAGATTTTAAAAAAACATTTTCTTTATCGTGCCAACGTTTCGATCTTTATTGAGATCATCTTCAGGGCTCAAAGTGGCGCTCTCAACACGACAGACAAGACTGACAGATCTACATTTGAGCCCTGAAGATGATCTCAATAAAGATCGAAACGTGGGCAGGATAAAGAAAATGTTTTTCTAAAACCTACGTCACTCCAGACCGTCACGACGTCGAAATATTCATCAAGTAACAGTCACTCAACACCACACATTTATTTATTATGGTTTAATAATTAACAAATATTTTGTTCTGCATATTCTTACCTATTTTTGTCTTTCTTTGGCTTCTCGCCATCTTTAGTCTATGATCTGTGAATAGCTGAAGATTGCGAGAAGACATCCGAAAGATCAAACCTAGCGAGAATATGCAGACGAAAACGATTGGAAACGAAACAACTCATCTCCCCGCATACCATATTTTTCTATTTTTTACAATAATAAATACTCCATCAATCCATCAGATCGGTTTTCCAACCGTTCTATTCGGTTTTAGCGCATAATATAAAATGAACTAAATTTAGTACATTCTTATTTACTACAGTTTGAACGTTTCTGATCATTTTAGTTTCCGTATCCTCACTATTTTGGCCTATCCGACGTATTTCGGTTTTTCGCCGTCTTTACTATTGGTTCTTTGTGACACTGAACATGTCGAAATGCCGAAAACCGCCTGAGAAACGGCAGAACTACTCAACCTAAGACTTATAAGTATTAAAATATTGGAGGACTCTTAGCATATGAATAGTCTTGGAGCAGATTGTGAAAATATTCCGAGGAAGAGGAAACTGCGGGACATATCTTCTGTTAATACATAGGGCAGGTCACTCCTAGGAACCTTACGGACACAAAGCATTATTAACAATTAATTTTTTTAAAATTCTCTTTAGTTTAACTAACTCCCACTAAAACAATTCAGTAAAAGAGGATAGAAGAAAGAAATATGTTTTATTATGAAACGAGAAAATACCAAAACATAAAGGAGTTAATTGGTGTTCAGAAATATTCGTTTATCTCGTGTAGAAATGTGTGGTGATTAGTGACCGTTAATCGATAATTATTCAGAAATCTTGAAATGCGGTCTGGTGTGATGTAGGTGAAGATGATCTCAATAAAGATCGAAACGTTGGCACGATAAAGAAAATGTTTTTCTGAAACCTACATCACACCAGACCGCATCTCACGATTTCTGAATAATAATTCGTTTATATATTAACCGTTGTGTTATGCATGCATAACATAAACATAACGGTTTTTTTTCAGTTTTGTTTAACGTTTCCTATCAATGTTCTCCGTAATGACTAGATTATTATCGATTGTGATTCTTCTGCAAACGAACTCCTAAAGCTAACTTCTGGGTTGTCTTTAATAAGCTCAGATAAAATCCAGCTGATAGAGTGATAAAAAACGTGAAGAGACTGAAAACCGGACCAGGGAAATTAATCGAGGTGTCTGACAAGTATATTGTTTACACCTTTCTTTTGAACATTACCTGTTTGCTCTAATTGTACACTCCTATATCCAAATTAATAGAAATTATGGAGTGTGTGCGGTGTGGTCAATCCTGTTTTAAAAAAGATAGTTCCTACTCACAGGATGTTGTTTTCCAACGATCGGGATTTCGAGCCCTTAGCTCATCATCAGGTTGTAGAAATCCTACAACCTGATGATGAGCTAAGGGCTCGAAATCCCGATCGTTGGAAAACAACATCCTGTGAGTAGGAACTATCTTTTTTTTTTTTTAAAGGACTCCTACATTCAAATGGAACCATTCAATTAATTGTAGAAAGAAAAGACGATTTCGAGTGTGATCTATTTACCCTCAAGCAAGGGCGATGTAAAAATCTTCTCCAGGAATATCGCAGAAAAGTCAGAACTAGTAAACCTAGGACATCTAAGGACTAGAATGACAGTAGGACTTTAAGCAGAAAAGCAAGCCTGTGCAAAATTGCCAGGAAAAAGATGAAACAGCGGTATATGTCCTCTGGTGTTCTATTGCCTGAAAGATATAAACTGAAAGTTTTAATAAATTTTTGGAAAAAGCCTCGCGCAGTATGTCAATATTGGCCCAGAATCGACCTAATGGTCATAGAGATGGAAGAAGTTCAACAATAGTTGACATGAAGACAGAACGGGATCATCCCTGACGTGAAGAAGAAGGTAAACAATAACAATAACTGTTTTTAAACAAGAAATTAATTTATAATGCAAAACTGTTTAACATAAATTTTAATGAATCGTCTCGTTAGCCAGGTAAATTGGGGCGATGCAAATCTACCCGAGCTGGACGGCTCATAGATTTTTAACGAACGGATAATCGAAGGAGTTGTAATTTAAGAGTAGGTTTTTTGTTTCATCCTTTCGTCCCTGTCGCGTTCATTGAAAAGACCGTGGGTCCGGTTTGTTCCCCCCTCGCCCCAGAAGGAAACCCACGCACGGGTTTATCGCATCGTCCCCCTGATTTATGCGATGAGAGTATCTCCCATAAACGTCATCGGTTTATTGATCACCCCCTCCTAGGCGCAGTCATTCACAAGCTGGCCCATTATCTCGGCGCCTCCACGGCCTAACCCGGTTTTACGGCCAGGTAGCCCTCGGTGGAAACATAACTCACGGCATAACTGACCTTTGCCGATCCTGTGGTGATCCTTAATCTTGTCCTCGTCGTCGTCTTTGTCTTTGTCGTCGCAATCGGAGAGGACGGCGTCGTCGTCGTCGTCCGTCTTGTTCTTCGGCTCCCAGGTCATCTTGTTCTCTTTCTTAAGACGGCGGCGGGCGTTGGCGAACCACGTCGAGACCTGGGTCAGTGTCATTTTCGTGATTATCGCCAACATGATCTTCTCTCCTTTTGTCGGGTAGGGGTTCTTCTTGTGCTCGTTCAGCCACGCTTTCAACGTCGCAGTCGACTCTCTCGTCGCGTTCTTCCGCCGCGCTGCCAAATCGTAGCCCGCTCCATACCTTAAAAAACAAACCATTCAGTATAAATATAATCACTTAAAATACAGTTATTTAGATAAGATAGCATATTTGGAACCACAAGAATAAAACTGCCAACTAACAGCAACTTTGCCATAAAGATTTCGCTTTTTTTATTAAAGTAACGAAAAATGGTCATTTAATAATCAATATTTCAGTTCAATAGAACTAGAAAAATCTGCTTAAAGCAAATCTAATATCTATTGAATTTATGACGCTAATATTTTTCCTGCAAACTTCCCACACATCATTTGATCTCCCAGTATGTGGGAGTGTCCCTAAGCAGTATATTAATTGATTCGGACGACCCCAGAGGTGCCATATTTCAACGTCGAGAACAGTGGCTAGAGGCTTCTTTGTTTAAAAAAAAATATACTGAGCGGTTATGAGGAACACGAATAACATCCGGTCCTGCGAGCGAACGAGTTGCGTGTCTTGCCACCTGTCACCTGCCACTGGACACCTATTGATCAGGAAATTCAACGACAAATGTACCGCCGATTACGGTTAAAAAGGGTATTTATCGATTCCGTGACCTCTTTAAGTTCACGGGAAAAAAATTATATTTTTTCCTGAACTTAGGACTTTACCCACTAAATCTGTAATACCCGCTGCTAGCAAAAATTTGTTTTAATTAAGGTTTAAGTTCAGCTTTTAGGACTTAAACTGTCAACATTCAAAGTTGAGAAATCAAAAAATCACTGTTGTTTTAAACAATAAAATAAGATTATGCCGTTGCAATGAATATAATAAGTGGTGTAAATGAACTAAAACTTGAACTACAAACTATTCTTCTTCGAGTCGTTTAAAATCTTTGTTATTATCTGTATATTTTTTTTACAGGGGCATCCGACAGCTTGGTAATTTCAGCCCCGAAGCACTAACTAAATACCGCTAAACACAATCACACTAATAAATACATTCATACCTATATACATTGAACGCACTCATTCTGTTAGGTATATGAAGTACTCGATATTCCTCCATCTACCTATGCACTACAATAAACTATTCAAATTTGAGGTCGATGCGGTACTTTAAAAATTTTCCGTCGTACACCCAGGTTACGCACGCAACAAGGGGCGATGTATGCTACTTCGCCATCAGCCCCTCCCCTTCACACCAATAAATACATTCACACCAACATAATTCACAATCAGTCAGTTTCGTAGATGGAGTATTCGATATTCCTCCATCTACCCGTTCCCTGTAATAAACTAATCCAAAATGGGGTCGATCGGATATTGTTATAAAATTTCCGCCATCAGCCATACACACAACCTGAGAGGCGATGGAGAAGCTACTTCGCCATCAGCCCCTCCCCATTCACACTAATAAATACATTCACTCTACAAGACACAGAAACACAAAACACATAACTTAACTTCTATATACAATAAAAAATTCCCAATTCCCTTAAAAAGCGAAATAGGGGACTGTGAAACTCGCTGCTGTGGCCGAGAACCTTCTTTAAATCTGGCGGCATGCCTACTGGCGCCCTGTAGGGCGCCAAGGCATGACACGCTTCGACTATGAGGGAGCAACCTTTCTCTGCATAAGCGACACCTTCGGGGGATTGGCCCACCAGCAAGTGCCCATGTGTCAACCGCGTATGACCTATTCTTAATCTGGCCAGAACTATTCCTTCTTTACGGCTCAGATCCTCAACCAGTGTATTAAAATGTATGATTAACATTGTAATAATGGTAGCTCCGGTACGCAATTGGGGATCCGACGTGTATCGGAGGCCCGGAAGTCGGGGCAAATTACCGGATGAATATGACGTAAATTATTCAGCCGAAATATTATCTAGGGCCTCGGATACTTTCGTTAAATTATGCGCGCTTCTTGAACCGGACCCACCCTCGGCGAAGTTGTCGGAAACTCATTAGCACCGAGCAGGCCGAGGGGGGACATTTTACGACCCTCGACGCGAAATAGAGCAAGAGAATTTATATTAATGCACTACAAAGTGGTTATCAGCGATCTGACATGTGTAGTAGGTTTCACGTTCGGTTTTTATTCCATTTTCCCGCTTGTTCCATCGTCAGATCCCAACCATTAAACAACCATTTCCAAGACGTTTAAAAAATAATTACTCAGATATAAAATTTCCTTTTATTACACCAATTACAATTTTTACAACGCTCACCTTTCATATTTACTCATGAATTTTAAATGTCGTAAATATGTATAAGTTGTTATTTATTCGGCAATCAAATCTTATAGCTTCACGTTTCTGCCAAGACCGAAGATAAAATAAAATATTGAATTAAAAAAAAAAAAAATCATAAAAAGCCTGTACATATCAAAATGCATATTACATATATGAGCGTGTATGTTTTTTTTTTCTTCAGGACACAAATCTTACTACAGCCTGTACTACACCCTCAGGTCACATGTGGAAACGACGCTGGCACTCAACATGAGATTTAATGGGCCAGGAAGTCTCGAGGCCATCTACGTGGCAAGTTCTCAGGATTGAAAAATTGTAGATAAGCTGTTTTACGTTTTAGTGGTCTATTGATCAAGTTACTTCTTCCAATTAATTATTCTTTCTATGTAAGATCTTGGTTGAGATAAAAAAGTCAGTGTCACGAGCGGGATTCGAACCTACGACCTTCGGCTAAAAACGCCGCTACTCTACCACTTGAGCCATCGTCCTCTCGGACACCAACTCAGTCACTCTCAAAAAGGGGGAGAATTCGAACGGTTGTAGGTTGAGATGGAGAGTTGGTGTCCGAGAGGATCAAAGTCGCGGTAGCTCAAGTGGTAGAGTAGCGGTGTATTTAGCCGAAGGTCGTAGGGTCAAATCCCGATCGTGACAATGACTTTTTCATTTCAACCAAAAACTTACATAGAAAGAATAATTAATTTAAATTACAGATAAGGCTTGGGCAGCCATATTAGAATAGACCGAAACAGTGAGGAGAGGTAGTTAGAAGTTTTGACTATTTGTCTGAAGACTTTTGATTGGAAGGATCGGATGCCTGGATATTAAATAACTTGGCGGAACACTAAAGATCTACTCCTTATGTCCATAATTGTAGCAGTAATGTGTCATAATTGAGTTTTGACGGATTTCTTCCTAAAAGTCTTCGTAGCTCTCCATGCCTTTTGTTGTCATTTAAGTTGTGAGGATTCCACATCAATTTGCTTTCTTAGGTCCAGTCCTAAGCATCTGACTTGAAGTAAGATCGGAAGCCTTTTTTGCTTCCTTATTCATTCTTGTTTTAAGTTTTGCTGTAATCCTTGATAAGCTTAAGTGTTCTTGATATTGCATAGAAGACTGAAATGCGGTGTCATCAGCTAATGGTCATGTTGGGGTGTAAAGGAATGTTAGAGGTTTAAACTTACAGGGTGGGACCAAGAATGCTACCTTGCGGGACGCCGCCTTGTACTGGTCTTATATCCGAACAGTCCGTGCTAGTACTACTTGCTGCTCCGCACTCTGGAGCAGTGGTCAGTTAAATAGGATCCTTGGTGAGGTGACGGAATTTGGAAATGACAGGTAAATGGCTGGAGGATGTATAGGAGGATGTATGATTAGGAAGTTTGTGAGCTTTAAATATAAGAATGACTACGAAGTACTTAGAGAGGAAGTTTACTAAGAGAGAAAAGTCAGTGATAGTCGGTAGTATTGTATGTTGTGGTTAATTTTTTTTTATTTACACGAATAAAAACCCACTTAATATGTATAAAAGAATTCCTCAAACTTTTAGACTTCCAAACTCTTACGAATTTTTTGAAAAAACACCAAGGTGGTTATAACTTTCAAACAACTAGACCGATCTAACGAAAATGTACAGTAGTTTAGAAAATTAGAAACTACACGAAATGGCATATCTGGTCTCCGTAGATAAATGTAAAAGTTTAAGGAAATGAAATAGTCTAAAAAATAAAAAATTAAGCTTTCCCACTCTTGTAAAAAAAATTAATTAAGAATTAATATCATTAATTATTGATTAAACAAATAATATCATTTCTATTAATTAAGGTTTTCAGTTGAGATTAAAAAAAAGTCAATGGCACGAGCGGGATTCGAACCAACCATCTTCGGATTGATACGCCGCTGCTCTACCACTTAAGCTATCGTGACCTCGATCCACTCGGACACCAACTTCCCATCTCAACCCCCCCTTTCGAATTTTCCCTCCTTTTTGCCATTTTTTTATCTCAACTAAAAACCTTAATTAATTGTAATATATTAATTGGTCAAGCGGACCACGAAATTAGTGAATTGAATCTTGTAAAAACGTTGAATTTGGGAGATTTTCACGAACGAAAAACCCCAGTACAAAATTTTTGGAAAAGTCACCTCAAACCTTTGGCCATCCAAATGCCTCTGATTATTTTTTTGAAAAATCATAAAAATGATGATAACTTTAACGACTCTACTGATCTACAGGAAACTTCACAGGAATTTCAGACCTCATAACTGCTCGCAATAAAGTAAATCTGACATCAATAATCAAATTGGAAACGGAAATGTCTTCGGTATCTTTAAATAAATTACAAGTGGAAATATAAATAAAATGTTCGAGGTTGTTGATTCCATACTTGTTTCACTTATGACGACATAAAATCCAAACATAGTTGACACAGTCTAAAAGTTGGAAAACGCTGTGAAAACGTTGAACTTTAGGGTAAGTTTTACGGACAAAAAATCCTAAACAAAATTTTTGGGAAACTTGAGAACTATTTTTCCCAAAACTATTCTAAATTAAATAAAATAGACAAAACGTAATAATAGTGCGAGCAAAGCAAGCAGACAAAAGGCGATAAAGACTGTACATATTGTCCATTGTCCCATATAAGGGATGGCTACGTTTTCCAATCAATCAATTACGCCTAATCTAGTAGGCAGTAGGTAGTTAAATTAATATCTACATTTTCCTTATGGAAATTAGAGATATACTTGTACGAAAATTAACATTGACAATCTAAATTGTACTATTTTTATGGGCAAAATTATATGTCTGTTTCTTCAAGTTTTATC